AACAGGATTTTTTCTTAAAAATTCTCTCGTATTCGAAAAAAAGTAAAGTGTGGCATGAAAATTATGAACAGTGGCAAAGGTCTTATTGAAGCAGTGCTTGTTTTTCTATTAATTCTATGCCAGAAGCTTCAGTTCTACCTCTCAGGTAGTCAATTGTTTTTGTTTTTAGCATATCTACAGAGTGGAAAGAGAACTAGATTGGTAATTGAAATAATTCCGTATCTCAAATAACAGCATAATTTGTTACGCAACAGCGTAGGTGGTATGATGATAATAATTAGATATGAATTTCCCAAATATACGCAATGTTTTCCTGATAATAATATCCGGTGATTGTCAGAAAGTAAATCTTTTTTCATTTATGATAGTTTACAATTAGAGGAATTCGTGGATTTTAGCGAAATTTCATTTTAAACACATTGCAAATGAGTAATTGATAATCCAAAAATACATTTCGTTATCTATGTGAGTAAATAATGATGGAAATACATATTCATCCGAAATATATAAGTATAGAATGAATAATTGATTCAGAAAACCTCTCAAAAGAGCTCTATCGAAAAAAAAAGTACTATTTGTTTCAAGAAACTCTGCTGTGATAGATTTTTCTCGATTTGTACAAATAACATAATCAATATAGGAGTTCCAGAGAGATCCATTTGGAAGTTTTTTTATTTCGGAGCAAAGGAATTTGAAGATTTAATTTCTCTCAATCTTTCGAGTTGATGGGAAATATCTCCAAAATGATTTTCTCACATTTTTAATAATGTCAAAGAATATAAACTCACATAATTCAACACTACAAATAGAACTCTGTATGAATATAATGCTGGTAAAGGTATTATGCCAAAAATAACAAAAATTGGTTTATCTTCTGAGCAGTGCGAGTCAGCCAGAATTCTCAGTGTTTTTTTTCCATGAATAATAAAAGAATTGCGTAAGATAAATTTTCCTATAAAATTAATTCATAATTTAGGTGCTCTTTCATTTAAATTCGAAAAACGAATCCCTGAATTTCAAAACATTGCTTTGCATAATATATGATGACATTTATTATAAAAAACGCCACCCTTTGCTTAGACACCTCCAGTGTGCATTTCATACATCATCTCACCCACTGTATAACTGACATCCAAAGGAGTGCTTTCACGATTCCTAGTAATCTAAATTCCGTCGAACATTCCAGACAAATGTTTTCAATTCCTATTCCCGAATAGAAACAAGGTCAATGAACCAATTCCGTAAAATTCCACTCAAAACTCATTCAACATAATTAGAAAACAAAATAAACGGCTAGATTCAAGTTGTGCATTTTCGGCTCGCTGAAACTCTTTGATCATCTGGAACGAAGTTCAAGAGAAAAACAGAAGCGGAAACTGTCGAGAAACAAGATGATGTTGTGATGGTGAAAAATCTATTGTAATCGAATTATTAGACTCTACAGCAGTAGCAGAGCATATCGCTGTGCTAGAACAATACTGGGACAACTTGACAAACATAGTTTTGAGAAAAGTAAGTTTTAATGTTGTAATTGTAGCTGATATTTACATTTCTCAAACTGACAATGTCATTTTATGGTGTTTGGTGTGGTGGTATATGGAAGCCTAATGTTAATATCATTATTGTTATAAAGTGTCAATTTTGTTCTTTAACCTCTTTTTGTAAGGTGTCTTTGTATTACACTGGAAAAAAATATTTTGAAGATATCTCGTTTCTGCTCAAAGTTATCTCAGTATTGAAATTACTTTTTTGTTTTTGGTATAAGTTATTCCTACTTTTGTTGAATAAGTCCTTGTATTATTCTATATTTTTTTGAACATCAGTAAACTTAACAGCGATATATGCTGTTGGCTCGCAACAATGGCCCTTGACATAATCCATTCAAACAAAAGTATGTTTGTACCTGTAAATTTCAATTTTGAAACCAGTAAATACGTATCTGTTGAAAGACAACACAAAACAAAAATATAAACTTGAACTATGCGAATAGCAAAACTATGCGATTGCAACCTTTCCTCATCACGCGTATCCCGTAGTTGCGCTTCAATTTATTTTTCGCGTTTTTGTTTCTGGGACAACTTACATTTCATTTAAATTGTATGCGGAGGACTTTATTTCATAAATTGTAACGATTTTGAGTCTATATTAACAGTTCCAGTAGATTTGTACATTTGCGCCAAAAGTCTTAGGGAAAGTTCCTTCACGTTTCTGATCTATAAATTAAAAAGCAGTTGATTCTCGGGGAGTAAAAGACAAAAAGAGAGAGAGAGAGAGTTGTTACCGCTTAAGGATCGTCTCGCTTTCAACTGAATGCCAATAGGTTTTTGAACTTGTCTGAGCTAATCAAATATTAGACCACATAATATAGTCTCACTAATTCGGTATTCATGTCCGTTTGCTGCTGACCTTCGGAATGACCGAATGTTTTGATGTTAGTAAAGGTCAGGGCTTTTTTAGGCTTCCGCATATCGGCGAATCCGTTTTTCATTCAGTTATTTAATCTCGTAGACTTCGCGAAGTTAACGACAAATATTCCTCAATTATTTACATCGAATATTCATTCGTTCCATTAAATTATTTTCAGGAGTACCTCAAGGTTCACTTCTGAACGAATTATTATTGGGTTGAACATGTGTAGGCTTAGCCTTTTCTTGATGTTCGCAGATCTTTTCCATTGATTTTGGCGAAGGATCAATTTATACGCATACAAATACGAAGAATAATCACGACAACCGGTGAGTTTTTGAAATATACCACGGTACAAAGGCAATAACTATTAGGATCAATCCATTGGTGGGATATTACTGCAGTTTTATCCCAACACCAAACCCTTCTTTTAACACTTCGACACGTGTTTTGATCACCAAGTAATCATCTTCGAGAGGAAGATAAAACTTCCTCTTGAAGATGATCAATTGGTGATGCTTTTAAGGTATTCAAAAAACACTTTATTGTGAGATTTTCACTAAACAGGATCACAAAAACGCAACACGTGTTTCGCTATACAATGGCTTCTTCGGGCATGTCTTCATTAACTAATTCTACACATTCAATGCTAAATATACCTTATTGAAGTACCTACATTTCAAGTATCTGATTTTTACCTAAGTTTGTAATGAATTAAATTAAGATTGGTCGGTTCAACATGGTTGCTTTCTTCACTCACTCAAATAGACCGCCGTGTTAGTCGGTGGTTCAAGCCCCAGGCTGAACGATCAATTTTCACTTGCTATCGCCCAACCCGTGTTAGGAATCATACGTTAAAAGGTAAGACCTCGTTAGTCCTTAGCTTGCACAAGTTTTGACTTCTGAGGGTTGTCGTTCGTAGGGGTGCGACACCTGGTTAACGGAAAAACAATTTTTTTTAAACCTGAGCTTATGTCCCAGTTTCCAGATTTGAAAAAATTTTTAGTAGCGGGGAGTTATTCAATTCTATTTTCTGACATGTGAAAAGGATGTGATTTATATCCGCTAAAGAAAAATTGTCACAAGAGCATAATGGATTCACATCAATGCCTGTCTTTGCCAGATGTGCAGGGAACTTACCATGGTTCATTTCCATTCGTGTGATGGTAGTGGCGTTAAATCTTGAAAAGTTGAAGTTGTCTATGTGAGGGATACTTTTAGGGATAGTGGGGTGGATTAATGAATAATACTTTTTTGATTTAGAAGAGAATTCTTTCCAGTCCCTCCCAATTTAGTCGTATTTCATATCTAACGTCTGAGACTTTATCTTGCGGGGAGCTAATATCAGTTATCAATTCTGGAGAAGTGGCTTCTTTCGCTGCCAAATGCCATTTGATCCAAATGAAAACAATGTCAATTTTATAACTGAAAAAGCACTCTAAAGTTTTTATAATTTCAAAAATAAGTTATTTCTTATTGATATGTCTTTTGTAGTTAGTAGGGGAAAGAAGGACAGATTTGGAATCCGATAAAATGACTGAACTAGCTTCGCCATTATGTTTAACCTACAAAAGAGCTTGAAGTATAGCATAAGCCTCTCCTGTGTACATCGAAGTATTATTGGAAAGGTGGAATTGAGAAACAATATTTTTGTTTTGTATATACAATGCACTTCTAGTGCCAGTGCCAGTGATCACTTTTAGACACATCACACTATATTGTGTTGGAAGATTCAATTGTTCCCAGTACCGATTTTGTAAGAGATTGATTGAGTTGAGAATTCACTCAGAAGTTGTTGAATTTGACCGTTGGTTTGAACATCAACATAGGAAACTCCAGCTGAAACTGGAGTTTCTGTCCTGAGAGTTGATGTAATTTATCTTCTCTAATATTACGGCGAAGGCTTCAGCCAAAGGAGGATTATTCCTAAGCATCCTAGAAGATTGAGTTTCAAACTCTTCTCTTCTAAATGTAACACGTCGTATTCATGATTGAACTCATGTCCTTCTGCTAAAAGGTGATTTGCAAATGTGGAATTAGTTTTCCTATTTACAACATTACTTATATCCTCTTTAATTCTTTGGGAAAATGTTCTCCTTGTTTGGCCAATATACAGTTTTGGACAAGTGCCACAAGTCAACTTATATACTCTTGATCTTTTTTCCTGATGCTTTTTTCAAAATCCTGTAATTATTACGAGTTGTCAGTGTTTTTCTCTTACTTTTAACCATCTTATTATTTATTGTATACATATATTCTACACAACATTGTTTAAACTGGAGGATGTCTATTAATAATCAAATTGGTCATTATTTTGGAGCAAGTTCTGCATCAAGGAGATTCGCGTTCAAAATTCATTAAAGGAAAAGAAGACAGTGCAGAAAAAAAACATGGCAAATGAAATTTTGCGATAACGAGTTGTTACAGTTGGAAAATAGGTCTTTGTTTCATCTACATTTAAGTTAGTGAGAAAAAATCGATACAGGTTTATCTGGTAATTGGAAATGAGTATGTCCCGATGAATCTTCAACAATAATCCTAAACCCATTACTGTAAAACGTCACCGAATACAATTGTCAAAAGTCGTTAATTACCTTGCTGCTATTCCGTCAACGTTATCCAGAATCGCTAAAATGACCAGATTTCCTCCGAAAATAACCACTCATTCGCGTAAACCGACAGCACATGCACGCACACAAACCAATAAACAGTCGTACTGAACGGAATCAATCATGCGAATAGCCAGCAGGCCACGACCGACTGCAATCAGACAGTCATTTGTTCGTTCCGCACAAGGCCAACGTAACCCACGACAATATCGAATCGCATCCTTCGAAACGGGCACCAGGATCAGGACTCCTGCGAAAAAGGACGAAGCCGAAACGTTTCGCCGTGCTATGGTGTACCTGGCCGCAGATTGATCCCGGTAGACCGTGTTTCCACCGTAGCCGTGTCGAAACAAATGATAGTGGACGCGAGCGAATATAGATTTCGCTCGGCGAAGGACGAAACGCTGTGTTTTAATTAAAAGCTGGCAAAGGTAGAGGTGTAGTGGATACGAGTGAGCGTGTGTTTTTGCGGTGAGTGATTCAGAATAGAAGTGGTTTGTAATGAAGGTACGAGGGCGATGAGAGTTGTTCTCAGCTCGCACAAGTGTCGACTTGGTGGGTTGTTGTTCGTAGGGGGTCAACAGCTAGTCAACGAAATAACAGATATTGTAGAAATATCATTTTTTTTTCATAAAGCCACTCTAGTGATAAGATTTTCCTACACAAGAACCTAGGCATCATTTACAGTACAATTTCTATGAAAGATTCAAAACTATCACACCAAGCAGAGAGGACTGGAAAAACGCCCACTGGTTGAAGCGGGAGAAACCAAGTCTTTTGATTCAAGGTGATTGACAATGTCTCATGATGAATTTCACTAGTTCGGACTTCCATTGTCTAATATATAAAATGTGAGCCTCCACACTTGTATGGACTACCCAAAATTCACAAGAAGGACGTTCCGCTTAGACCCATCATCAGCTCCAGAGATTCGGCTACTCAAAACTAGATTTTTACTTCCCATAATACAACCTTTAGAAAGAAAACCATCGTCTTTTGTGAAGAATTCAAGGCATTTTGTCGAACTACAAGGGTCAATTGAAGTCACACAGGAAGATCAACTAATCAGTTTCGACGTAGAAAGCCTTTACACCAACGTTCCGGTCGAAGAAGCACTCCAAATCATACAGAGAAAACTATCCGAAGACGGGAACCTGAAAGAGAGAACGAATCTACTTATAGAAGTAATTATGGAATTACTAGGATGCTGTGTACGAAACTATTATTTCCAACTGAAGGACGAATTATTTACACAAGATGAAGGACTGCCAATGGGATCGCCACTTTCACCAGTCTTAGCCAACATATATATGGGGTGGTTTGAAAGTCTGGTCATTGAAGAAGCCCACAAGAAACCTCGAATCTGACGACATCTTTATGATATGGAACTATGGGAATACTGAACTAGACGTCTTCCTGAAAAACATCAACAGCGTGAGACCTTCCATCACTTTCCCAATGGAGAAGGAAATTCACAACGAATTGCCATTCTTAGACGTTTTGGTGAAGAGGACCGACACTAATTGGGAAACATCTGTATACCGAAAACCCACTCACACGGGACAGTATCTGAACCACGAATCCAACCACCATCAATCAACTAAAAGATGAATCATCATGACTCTATTAGACCGTGCATTCGGGCTCTGTAACACGAAGGAAGGTCTCGAGAAGGAACTAGACATCATCAAAAATGATCTTCAACGGAATGGCTACTCCAAAGCGATGGTAGAAAATATTTTGGCTAAAATATAGTAGGAGCTAAGCAAGGAACAGAAACCGTCACAACCAGTTCTTGCACTTCCTACGTCAGAGCATTATCGGAGAGGATAAGCAGAATTGGTTCCAAGTACAACATAAAAACCTGCTTCAAATCCGGTAACACTATCCGTAGCAGCCTCACGAAAACTAGGCCACCAAACGCGAACTGCGATTCCAAGAATTGCATCTACCGGATACCCTGTGAGTGCGGAAAATCCTATATTGGTGAAACTAAGAGGCCATTGAATGTTCGCATTGCCGAGCACAAGAAACACACACAGCGAGGGAATCAAATCAGGAATAGCAGACTATGTTTGGACCCATCAATACAACATCGAGTGGTCCCAAGCTGAGATCTTACACAGAGAGGAACAGTGGCTTAGGAGGAGATTCAAGGAAGTCGCATAACAAGTGTTTTATGAGACTGATAACACATGTTGAAGAGAGGAAGGTTCCAAGTATGGATCCCTGAGGGATTCCCTGTTCCATGAAGTATGACTCTCTGTGTTCTCACTTGTAAGTAAGGTACCCTTGGAACTCCACAATGATAAGCTCAAGAAAAATCAATGATTAGAACATATATTCCCAGTTACTATCAAGGGAAATTATAACATGTTCGTTGAATCCATACAGAGAGAAATTTACAAGTGAAGCGGAAGGATAATAATTGATTTTTTATCTTAAGTTCAAATAGTTCGAAAGCTCAAGGGGATATTGAGTCTTCTGTATTGAATGCCTTAAAGAAATTATTGAAGCACTTTCTATTATCAGTGATGAATTTATACAAGCGAATACTCCACTTCTTTCAATGTAATTGTTATTATTGATGTTCAGTTGAATAATTTAGGCTTGTGATATGTGTAACTGATTACATACAAATCTTTGATTGTCAGAAAGAAAATTAAGAATCATTATTATTATTAAAACCTTCACAGTTCGGCATTCAAACTAATAAAGTTTTATACATAGTAGCTCAACATTCATTACTTCCAGCCGGATATAGAGCGTTGTTATACACAAGATTATTATTTGTAAAATAAGACACTGCAACTGAATTGGACGTAACATAAATTGCAAAATCAAGTACCGATATGATTTTAATTGCTTACATGTCCAGTACTACGACACCTACACGATATAAAATGCGTCTCGAATCAACGATTGTGTCGCATTTACAAGGGGCAAAGCCACAACGAACATTATCAGATTATCTGCAGCAGAACGAACAACGGAAGCAATAAATAAGGCCTTTACCTGGTGTTGCATTATTTTCTTTATCAGCACGGGTGGCGAATTGCGATGCGATGAAAAACATCCTATCGCAATTCTTCTGTATTGATTTGCTGTCTTGCAAAACTGAACATATATTTTTGTGTCGAGATAAAGACAGGACGCAACAACAGACACAGCAAGTATTTTTGATAAGAAGATTGTTAAAGACACATATTTCATGGTCAATTCATGGCTTCCTAACTATCTAGTCCAGCGTTTCCCAAACTTTTCTGCATAGGGACTCATTGTGGAATTTTTTTCGCGACCCACATATTGAATAATAGTAAGTTTAATTATTATTACTAATAATATTTTCATTATTATTATCAATATTGAGAAATACACCTCTGAAAGAAAATGCTGAAGATGATATAATTGAAGATTGAGATAAAGATCGAAAAAAGACTTTTAATTCAAAATCTTGAAACTAAACAAATGCAGAAAATGAAAAAATGAGACATATGTTATTAATGTAACTTCTGTAGCTGGTGCTTACGACTTACAAGAGATTCTATATCGGGGTTGAAAGTTGAAAGCTTCAAAGGCAGATCACTTTCCAGACAAAGCCAATTTCTATATTTATTTTTTAAATATACCAAAGTGGAGAATGCCCTCTCACACAAATTTGTGGTTGAAAACCTCATCAGCTCTTTCAAAGCTATGTTCGAAAGAACTGGATACTCTCCCCCCCCCAGCCTTTATCCAAAATGGAAAAAACCATTCAAAAGTATTAAGTGTTTCAAATCTATTTCCGCGACCCACCCAAATTGCTCCAGAGACCCATTTGTGGGTCGCGACCCACAGTTTGGGAACCACTGATCTAGTCTACAGCTATGAAGTAAGTGAATGAGTTGAAGCATAGATTTGAAAGTTTACCAAAAAAAGTGTTGCTTCAACAAGATGACCCTATATAATATCCTTTAATATCCTGGCGCCTGACAACATCTCATAAATCATCACAAGTGTCACTTTGTCGAAAACCTCGAAGACCGTGAAATATAATCAAAGTGGCAGTCCATTCAGAATGCCATGTAAAAAGCTGTATGAAACTTTTGAAAAAAAAATTCAAGGTAAAAGTTAGGCTCAAAACGAGCAGTAATGCTTGAACAAAAACATTGTTTCAACTGATTAAATATAAGTATTAACGGAAAACAATGGGTTTTATACGTTGGCGATGACATTCATCGGACAAGTTTAAATTCAGAAAGCCCTTTAAATAAAATAGTTCATTAAATGAACATATGAAAATGATTGAACAATTTATTTCGGTAAATATTCAAGAAAACTATAAACAATAATTTTCAACAAATGGTTGATGACAACAACGAATGAAATACTGCATTTTTCAGCAACAAACGCTTCTTTTAAAAACGATGTTTCTCCTAAATATAATTTTTTTTGTCATGAATTAAATTTCCATTTTTCATTAAATATTAAAATATTATTATCAAGTTTTCATTATAATATTGGATGATTGAAAAAATCACAGTGGTCCATCTTCAGAATGGGCCCTTATATTTGAAAAATATGATGATGCTGATATGACGTTACATTTGAGTTTAAAAATTTTTGAGCAAAGAAGGATCGAATCAGTAATTTGTTTTCTTCATTAACTATTGTCAGGTGTTAATTACCTGCCCCTCTCTATATTGACTCAAATTTCTTGAGTTTTCAATTAGATAAACTGGAGACAACAAAATATTCCACTCAAAATTATATCACATTAACTATATTTTTTTCACACGTACTCTCTGTTTCCTATTTGATAAATAATCACTATAAAGAAACAGTGTAAAGACAACTTATCAGGTACACAAATGCAAATACATATTTGAATATGAATATCAAATATATTGGTATAGGAGCATAAAGAAACTTTCTTCCAGTTATCTCATATGTGCAATTTTGTTCCATCATTTTCATAAAATAGGACGTATGCTTCTCACAAGCGATTTTGGTGTAATTGGTGACACGTGTAAATCGTTCTATTTGTGCCACATGCCAGTATACGGGTGTCTGCAGTATGCTGTATAATGCTTTCTGTAAGTAGTACCACAGTAATTTAAAAGTGCATATAGATTGTAACAAGTAGCCACAATTTCTGCTGCAAAATTGTCCATATTCAATTCTTCTAAAGGAAATTCGATGACAAACATTCAATTTTTCTCTGAATCTTTCCGTTGGAGGGAATCTTTTTAAATGAATTACTAAAATAGGGACTTTGTGCATTTTATCCTTTCTTTACATTTCGA